GTTTCGGTCCGTCCTGGACCATTCTCAATCGACTTGAGAATGGTCCAGGACGGACCGAAACATCGTTGTCCCTTCACCTTCTAGTGTGTGGTCTGGTCAACATACTTTAGCCACGTTATTGTGACTCTTCGCCTGTATATTATAGCGCTGTTATACCTTAGTGGAAGTGAGGCCAATATAAGAGGAAGCGAAGTGCGCGGCACCTACACAATACTGGCTGTATTATATTGCCTTATCTGTTGATTTCATGAGTTGTTCTACGTTTTACAAATATAAGATGAATCGGGTGCCAGTTTATAAACAAGTAATATAAATATATTAATATTCTGATATGTTAGGGAAAAATATTTAAGAAAATCAAATAACTAAACCTCAACCCTGAGACATAATTTCCCTCCCAAAAGACTTAGAGAAGCGACACCTTTCCCAAGTGGAGGTATTAAGTGATTACAACTTGAATATTTAGCGTGTGTATGAGGGGGCGGCGGTGGCGACCAGTCACTCCCTCCACCTTCACTTTCCCCCTCCGTGGGCAGTACGTCGCTGTCTACACCGACCCTTAGCCGCGAGTGTCGTGTTGTGTGTGTCGTTCCCTGGTGTGTCCCCATCATTCCCAGGACGTTCAGTGTTCAATGCGCCCAACCACTTGGACTAGACGGTAGAACGACTGTCTCGCTTTATGCAGGTCGGTGTTCCCGTCCATGTGGTTGGATACCATTCCTTTCTCCCGTTCCATCCCTTCCAAGTGCTATATAGTCAGAATGGCTTGGCGCTTTCCTTCCCCCCCTGATAGTTCCCTCCCCTCAGTGTTCAGTGCAAGGTGTAAATCTAACCGCGGTACTGACGAGCACATTTACAGCGATTTTGAAATCACCGCATACTCATAATGCTAAAATATTACCTTATGATATACCTCATAATAATATCGTTATATTTCGTGTCTGTTATGTCTTCCCATAATTGCTGGAGCGAATATTTTCCTTGATGACTGGTGTCTCAGGAGCGTCGAATAGTTAGTGGCCACAACAACTGTCATTGTTGTTGTTTTATATAGAGCTACCGGGACCAAAATGTCCACGTGTCACGGGCTATAGTGAGCCCGTGACCACATCAGCTCTACCGGTGTCAATATATACACAGAGCGGTGTACCTCGCTTCTCGGTGAACATACACTTAGTCCAAAACGAAAGTAAACTGTATCCAGGACTAAATAATACATGTTGTTGATAAGCAAGCAACTAGACTATTATGGCCTTAATAACCAATCAAAGGTTGACAGCCTTAAGCCCAACACTAAACGAAACGACGAGGAGTCATAAGGTGGGGGGGGGGATCCACAAGTGCCAGCTCCTGTACCATACAGTGCCAGAGTTAAGACTGGCGGAGGTTCTCTGTTGTTGTTGTTTAAGATTCAGCTAATCGGAACAAAAAGTTGTAAGTAGCACGGGCTATGGTGAGCCCGTAGTGGACTTACCTGGCACAGGAGCGGGGCTGTAACTTTGTGCAGAGCTTCTCCAGGCGACGCACACATACAGTGGGCACACTGGACACAGCTCAGGGGGAGAGCAGGGAAGGACTACCCCGGTGATATCACAGACAACACCGCTCACAGTCACTAGGCCATTCGTTCTCGCCAGCAGTAGACAGGCTTTACAACCTAAAAGTTGACCTGGGCGGAACACACAACCGAAGCGCAGTCTCAGTGTACATGACTGAGACTTTATTTCTATCTTTTACTTTATTATACATTATTAGTAATGCCTAAAACAAGGTTGACAGCTAGTTGAAACAAAGTTGATAGAGACCTAAATTCTCTTATATCTAATCAAAGTTTTCCTTAAAGTTCCTTCAGCTTTTAATTTCAATACTGGGGTGGGGGGGGGAGAGCTATTAGCCCAAACGTGCTGTGTTCAACATGTTAACACAATGATAAGTATGTTAATACAGTGTTGAGGATGTTAATACAGCGTTGAGGATGTTAATACAGTGTTGAGGATGTTAATACAGCGTTGAGGATGTTAATACAGTGTTGACCATGATAACACAGTGTCGACCATGTTAACCCAGTGAGTGGAGAGCGGCACCTGGACTTGAACAGGACATGTGAGGTCAGTCAAGAGTCAGTGAAGAAATATGGGCGTGGGGCTGTTTACCAGAGGCGGGGAATCAACGTTATCAACGTTGAATTACGATGATAAAGTTGATTTAACGTTCAATTAACGTTAAACATCTACCGTGGACATGTATATGAGTGTGATTGAGTGGTTAGAAATAGGACACTCTTACTGGGCCCTCTGAGTGATTTATACCAAGAAGCACAGTGCATTATCCTTCAATTGTATTTCTGGGCAGTAATCAGGCGTTTGTGTAATGCCCAATACCCACCCCGCCCTCCCCTGCAGGGGGGCTACCCTCCCCTGTAGGGGGATACCCTTGTCAAGGATGCCCACTCAGGCAACCCTGTATGCAACATCTTAAGCAACACGTTGAAATTACATGCAAACGTATACAACAAATCGGGTTTTATTGAGTATTTTCTGAGTGGTTAGTGCTGGGGCCTCAAGGTTGTGGGGAGGTGTTGTGAACGTGACCAGGTCTCCCGGGGCTCCGTGAGGCTGGGGTCGTGATCCTACATCAGTGTTGGGGGCACCAGGATAATGGTAGGTGGCCTGGCTGCCCACTGGGTATGGGGGAGGGTATAGTGGGCTGGCAGGTGGGGGGAGGGTATAGTGGGCTGGCAGGTGGGGTGAGGGTATAGTGGGCTGGCAGGTGGGGTGAGGGTATAGTGGGCTGGCAGGTGGGTGGAGGGTATAGTGGGCTGGCTGGCAGGTGGGGTGAGGGTATAGTGGGCTGGCAGGTGGGGTGAGGGTATAGTGGGCTGGCAGGTGGGGGGAGGGTATAGTGGGCTGGCAGGCTGGGGTGGGGGAGGGTATAGTGGGCTGGCAGGTGGGGTGAGGGTATAGTGGGCTGGCAGGTGGGGTGAGGGTATAGTGGGCTGGCAGGTGGGTGGAGGGTATAGTGGGCTGGCAGGTGGGTGGAGGGTATAGTGGGGGCTGGGGTGAGGGTATAGGGGCTGGCAGGTGGGGGTGAGGGTATAGTGGGCTGGCAGGTGGGGTGAGGGTATAGTGGGCTGGCAGGTGGGGTGGAGAGTATAGTGGGCTGGCAGGTAGGGGGGAGGGTATAGTGGGCTGGCAGGTGGAGGGGTGGAGGGTATAGTGGGCTGGCAGGTGTCTGGAGGGTATAGTGGGCTGGCAGGTGGGCTGGAGGGTATATGGTGGGCTGGCAGGTGGGTGGAGGATATAGTGGGCTGGCAGGTGTCTGGAGGATATGGTGGGCTGGCAGGTGTCTGGAGGGTATAGTGGGCTGGCAGGTGGGTGGAGGATATGGTGGGCTGGCAGGTGTCTGGAGGATATGGTGGGCTGGCAGGTGTCTGGAGATATAGTGGGCTGGCAGGTGGGTGAGGATATAGTGGGCTGGCAGGTGTCTGGAGGATATAGTGGGCTGGCAGGTGGGTGAGGATATAGTGGGGGCAGGTGGGTGGAGGGTATAGTGGGCTGGCAGGTGTCTGGAGGATATATAGGTGTCTGGAGGATATGGTGGGCTGGCAGTGTCTGGAGGATATGGTGGGCTGGAGGATATGGTGGGCTGGAGGTGTCTGGAGGATATGTGGTGGGCTGGCAGGTGTCTGGAGGATATGGTGGGCTGGCAGGTGTCTGGAGGATATAGTGGGCTGGCAGGTGTCTGGAGGGATAATGGTGGGCTGGCAGGTGTCTGGAGGATATGGTGGGCTGGCAGGTGTCTGGAGGATATAGTGGGCTGGCAGGTGGGTGAGGATATAGTGGGCTGGCAGGTGTCTGGAGGATATAGTGGGCTGGCAGGTGGGTGGATATAGTGGGCAGGCAGGTGGGTGGAGGGTATAGTGGGCTGGCAGGTGTCTGGAGGATATAGTGGGCTGGCAGGTGTCTGGAGGATATAGTGGGCTGGCAGGTGGGTGAGGATATAGTGGGCTGGCAGGTGGGTGGAGGGTATAGTGGGCTGGCAGGTGGGTGGAGGATATAGTGGGCTGGCAGGTGTCTGGAGGATATGGTGGGCTGGCAGGTGTCTGGAGGATATGGTGGGCTGGCAGGTGTCTGGAGGATATGGTGGGCTGGCAGGTGTCTGGAGGATATAGTGGGCTGGCAGGTGGGTGAGGATATAGTGGGCTGGCAGGTGTCTGGAGGATATAGTGGGCTGGCAGGTGGGTGAGGATATAGTGGGCTGGCAGGTGGGTGGAGGGTATAGTGGGCTGGCAGGTGTCTGGAGGATATAGTGGGCTGGCAGGTGTCTGGAGGATATAGTGGGCTGGCAGGTGGGTGAGGATATAGTGGGCTGGCAGGTGGGTGGAGGGTATAGTGGGCTGGCAGGTGGGTGGAGGATATAGTGGGCTGGCAGGTGTCTGGAGGATATAGTGGGCTGGCAGGTGGGTGGAGGGTATAGTGGGCTGGCAGGTGGGTGGAGGATATAGTGGGCTGGCAGGTGGGTGAGGATATAGTGGGCTGGCAGGTGGGTGGAGGGTATAGTGGGCTGGCAGGTGGGTGGAGGATATAGTGGGCTGGCAGGTGGGTGGAGGATATAGTGGGCTGGCAGGTGGGTGAGGATATGGTGGGCTGGCAGGTGGGTGAGGATATAGTGGGCTGGCAGGTGTCTGGAGGATATAGTGGGCTGACAACCACAGACGCGGGCAATCATTCACACTATGGTAATCAGCATACAAACATATCCTTGTCCTCCTGGGCCGGGCAGGAGACGTGTTATGCCACATATAGTGCTGGGTTAGAGCGGTGGGAGGTGGGCAAGACTCGCGACCCTCTGACCTATGACGGGACCAGCCCACTACTGCGGACTCGGGTCTGCTAAAGTTCAGAGCTGGCGTAGCGTGGTGAGCTCACACTCACACACTCACCCAGGGAGGAGCCGCCCAGTTGGTGCGTGTTGCTGGGACAGGCGGGCGCGCTCACCCACACTCCGGCCTCTTCCTCTCCGTACTTCCCGCGGATTTTATCACTTCCTTGTCCATTATTCCTCCTTCCTTCCTTTCGTGAAGGAGTTTATCAAGTTTGAACTTCGGCTCAGAGTTGGACTGCGATGTTTGTGGGCCCAGGACCGCCTCGGCCGCCATCAGTGTTGATAAGATCCAAGTGAGAACTGTGTGTGGGTGCCTCAAGTGCTGAAGCAAGACATTGTCACTGTTCGTCAATATGACAGTCTGGCACTGCAGTGTATCTGTGTTTGTGAACTGGTTAGTGACACCGTGCCAAGGTGTGGCGAGCAGTGCGGCATGGTGGGCATCAGGCCAGGTGCACGGTGCCGTACAATCTTTGTTGACTTGAAACTGAAGTGGGCTGCAGTGTGGGTGCCAGTGATATTGGTACTGTGGGTGCCAGTGATATTGGTACTGTGAGTGCCAGTGACATTGGTACTGTGGATGCCATACAATGCCAAATTTGTCTGAAAGATTTATGCACTACATCACTTGACAAATTGTTAATGACACACCACACACACACACACCACACACACACACACACACACACACACACACACACACACACACACACACACACACACACACACACACAGTGGCAGTGAATGAAGGGAAATACCCAAGAGAGGTAATCCGTGAAGGAAGCGAGTGTAACCGTGCAAGTTAACAGAATGTTCATATATTGTGGAGGAACATAGATTCAGGCACAGGTTCAGGGACAGGTTCAGGGACAGGACCGCTTCCCGCCCGCAGGTCCTCTAACGCTATCACTTCCCGCTCACGTTTCAACTTTATGAACATACTTGGCTTCTACAACGTCTTGGTCATATGATCTTGGTGGCCAGGCAGAGCGAGCACCTTCTCACAACTACGGCTCACCGGTGGCTCCCGCGTCCTCCCGCGTCCTGCTTTGTTATCGTGTGCTTACTGTGTATTTTTTTTAACCCAGTCAATTCTTCTAGCAATATTTATATTGTCACACCTCTTCTTTTTCTTGTGTGTGTGTGCCTGCGTGCGCGTGCGCGTCGGCAACGCGTAAATGAAAGTGAGATTGAACGAAACATTTCGGACTCGTCACGGAGGACCTTGAAATCCGAATTTGATTCGTGATATTTTTGCATGGGAAATTTTCCTTGTTTACAACTCTCGTATTGACAACAATACACACACACACACACACACACACACACACACACACACACACACACACACACACACACACACACACACACACACACACATACATCAACATCTCCTGAAGCTTGAGAATCCAATGAGAGCTTATGGAATATAAGTTGGTGAGATGTGCATCAGTGCACGAGAGAGCCAGCGGTGTGGCGGGGGCGGCGCGTGGCCACACTCCAAAGACATTACGTTCAAAAGCCGCAACTTAATATCATCTCGGAAACTAAAAATCCGCCAAACAATATTATTATGACACTGGCTGATCATATCGTGAAGGGTTTCCCCACCTCCAGAGTTATGGTGGCTGAGTTAGTTCCTGGACACGACTCGTGTGCGTGTGTGCACACTCACACACACACGCGCGCGCACACACACACACACACACACCACACACACACACACACACACACACACACACACACACACACACATAGATAGATGAGAAGAGAGAAGGAAATATAGAGAGAGAGAAGAATAATAGAGAGAAGAAATAGAGAGAAGGATCTGGGGTTGATATCACACCGAACCTGTCCCCAGAGGCCCACATCAAAAGAATATCATCAGCGGCATATGCTAGACTGGCCAACATAAGAACTGCCTTCAGAAACTTGTGTAAGGAATCTTTCAGAACCCTGTATACCACTTATGTAAGACCAATCCTGGAGTATGCAGCTCCAGCCTGGAGTCCATACCTAGTTAAACACAAGACAAAGTTAGAGAAGATTCAGCGGTATGCCACCAGGCTCGTCCCGGAACTGAGAGGATTGAGCTACGAGGAAAGGCTAAAGGAGCTGAACCTCACATCCCTGGAAAACAGAAGAGTAAGGGGAGACATGATAACCACCTACAAAATTCTCAGGGGAATTGACAGGGTGGACAAAGACAAACTCTTCAGCACGGGTGGGGGACACGAACAAGGGGACACAGGTGGAAACTTAGTACCCAGATGAGCCACAGAGACGTTAGAAAGAATTTTTTCAGTGTCAGAGTAGTTAATAAATGGAATGCACTAGGAAGTGATGTGGTGGAGGCTGACTCCATACACAGTTTCAAATGTAGGTATGATAGAGCCCAGTAGGCTCAGGAATCTGTACACCAGTTGATTGACAGTTGAGAGGCGGGACCAAAGAGCCAAAGCTCAACCCCCGCAAGCACAATTAGGTGAATACAATTAGGTGAGTACACACATCCTAGGATGTGTGTGTGTGTGTGTGTGTGTGTGTGTGTGTGTGTGTGTGTGTGTGTGTGTGTGTGTGTGTGTGTGTGTGTGTGTGTGTGTGCGTGCGCGCGAGACACAGAGAGCGAGAAAGAGAGAAATAAGCTTTAGATATGATAGAGAAAATTAGGATGGAAGTCAGTACATAAGTCAACTGACAGTTAGAAAGGCGAGATCCAAGAGCTAAGATCTCGACCCCTAAAGCACAAATAATAAACAAACACACAAACGTCATAATGAAACAAGACTGAACCCGAGGGGAACCATAAGATAGTAGAGAGACCCACACACAAGACCATACATAATGCCAGGAGAGAGTAAGAGATGTGATGGTGAATACGGAGGTAGCGACGAGGGCTGCTCGTGGTGGAACGAGAGGCTCGACCCTCACTCTGGAGAAGGTTCAGCTGTGGCACATGACTGTATATATGTAGGGAGATGCTACACACACAGATTGTAAACAAAATCAGAAAGAGGGAATGTTGAATGTCGTGCATTTTACACACATTTTTATATTTACTTTCACTAAATCCATCACAATCCCTCTGTCCATACCAAATTATTTATTTCCGTTTGTGCGTCCGTTTCTGCCTGTGCCCTTCTCTCTCTCTCTCTCTCTTTCTCTCTTTATCTCTTTCTTTCTCTCTCTCTCATTCTCTCTGTCTCTCTCTCTCTCTCATTCTCTCTGTCTCTCTCTCTCTCATTCTTTCTGTCTCTCTCTCTCTCATTCTCTCTGTCTCTCTCTCTCTCATTCTCTCTGTCTCTCTCATTCTCTCTGTCTCTCTCTCTCTCATTCTCTCTGTCTCTCTCTCTCTCATTCTTTCTGTCTCTCTCTCTCTCATTCTCTGTCTCTCTCTCTCTCATTCTCTCTGTCTCTCTCATTCTCTCTGTCTCTCTCTCATTCTCTCTGTCTCTCTCATTCTCTCTGTCTCTCTCTCATTCTCTCTGTCTCTCTCTCATTCTCTCTCTCTCTCTCTCTCTCTCTCTCTCTCTCTCTCTCTCTCTCTCTCTCTCTCTCTCTCTCTCTCTCTCTCTCTCTCTCTCTCTCTCCATAATGGTTACATCTATGACAGTTGTGCCTACTAAGTGACCGGTCAGACCGGTCTCTAACGCTCCGTTTAATTTGTCACACCGTGGCAAGAGGAGAGGAGCGACAACTACCCGTTTTACCGGACTACATCTCACAACCCACCCAACCCTACTCACTTTCATATCGTTTTTATCGCCCACATGGTGATGTTGTGCAACCGACCTGCCCCTCTTACTTTTATCTCGTCTATGCAATAGCTGGCGGTGTGGTCCTTGCAGCCTTCATACGGGCAAATATCGACGAAAGTTGACGTTCGGAGGTTGTGGTGTGCATCGGGGTCACTTTGTCTTGTTACCTCCATTCTTGCAACCACCACTTGCACTAGCGTAGAGGGGCAGAAAGTGCAGCCCCCCAGGCTGCCCTGTAGCCCCCCCAGGCTCCCCTGCAGGACCTGGGAATGGTCTATACAACACCCCAGATATATTAACCAAAAGGTCACTCGATAGTCAACACTGAGGCAACCTGGTTACTCGCTCAACCAGCTGCAAGTTCTCACCGGAAAGGATTACAGTGAGAGAAGTGAAGATCATACCTCAAGTTATCTTCCACTTCTATCAGATAACCCAACTTTCACATAACCTAACTACCTGACGGCTGAGTGGACAGCGCTCGGGATTCGTAGTCTTAAGGTTCCGGGTTTGATCCCCAAAGGAGGCGGAAACAAATGGGTAATTTCTTTCACTCTGATGCTCCCGTTCACCTACCAGTAAATAGGTACCTAGAAGTTAGATAGCTGCTACGGGCTGCTTCCTGGGGGTGTTTAACAAAAAGGAGGCTAGGTCGAGGACCGGGCCGCGGGGACGCTAAGCCCCGAACTTATCTCAAGATAACCTCAAGATAACTCCTCGGAAAGTTGTTTTCAACTTACCGGAAGGGGAATCATCTCTCTCCGAAACTTATAATAAATCGGTATTGAGTTTACCCATAATATAGGTAAATGGATACTACATTTCTGAATTGTTTAACAACAATCTACCTAAGGAAAGTTTACAACCGAACTTCTCACCCAGCCGCAAAAAATAATACTTTTGTATTGTGACAATACTTAATATAAGCATCACGTACTGAAGACAAAACAGCTGGTCATCTGGAATATCTTTCACAATCTCTGATTTATCACAGGCAATATATATATATATATATATATATATATATATATATATATATATATATATATATATATATATATATATATATATATATATATATATATATATATATGACAATGTCAGACCACGGAGGAAAAATGAAACAGGAATTTCCTTAAGTACTTTCGTATATTAAATACATCTTCAGAAGGTAGTAGATTAAATACATCACCTTCTGAAGATGTATTTAATATACGAAAGTACTTAAGGAAATTCCTGTTTCATTTTTCCTCCGTGGTCTGACATTGTCACATTCTTAATCACGTGTTTATTTTCGTGATATACACACACACACACACACACATATATATTATATATATATATATACACACACACACAACTAGGTGAGTACAACTAGGTGAGTACACACACACACACACACACACACACACACACACACACACACACACACACACACACACACACACACACACACACACACACACACACACACACACGCACATACATATACGTAGAAGTCGACCATTTGTAAGGTTACCCGTTTACCTTGCCAAACTTGTTTATGGTTCGTCCTTTATACGACATATTACAAAAAACTTCTGCCATGTCAGTTCCCGTCGAGTCTGTCGACAGTCGAACAGACGTAAACATCATATGTCAGAACACAAAAAGAGAAATTGCCTTTTTCTGTTTAAACGCTGCTTTCATTTTTCCAGTTTTAACATTTAAGTCTTTCCGTGTCGGTTTGTCAGATGTGTAAATAAGGTAACATGGTTATAGAATGGCTCCACTGCTAGTGGTCCTGTCAGTGGTGTGGCCATAACTAGGCTCCCTGCTAGTGGTCCTGCCAGTGGTGTGACCATAACTAGGCTCCCTGCTAGTGGTCCTGCCAGTGGTGTGGCCATAACTAGGCTCCCTGCTAGTGGTCCTGCCAGTGGTGTCGCCATAACTAGGCTCCCTGCTAGTGGTCCTGCCAGTGGTGTGGCCATAACTAGGCTCCCTGCTAGTAGTCCTGCCAGTGGTGTGACCATAACTAGGCTCCCTGCTAGTGGTCCTGCCAGTGGTCTCGCCATAACTAGGCTCCCTGCTAGTGGTCTCCACAGTCTGAATGACCACTTCACATTCTAGTCAACCCATTTCTCGTAAGACAAACACACCGACCAGCTGAGAATGAGTGTGCATAACAATACACCGCGTACGTGATCAGTGAAACCGCTCGACGCCTACACAATTCTTTCACACGCTTCACGCCACCACACTCAACCTCTTGGATTATATCACGCCACCACACTCAACCTCTTGGATTATATCACGCCACCACACTCAACCACTTGGATTATATCACGCCACCACACTCAACCTCTTGGATTATATCACGCCACCACACTCAACCACTTGGATTATATCACGCCACCACACTCAACCTCTTGGATTATATCACGCTCTTTTATTATCCTAATTATAATTTTATGCTTCATCAAGCGGACGTGAACCACTAAAATGTGCGATCACTGTTGTGTTGGATGGTAGGGTGATTTTGGAGACCAATACACCCGCCAGGATTGTTTTCCAATTAGTATTACCCCGATGCTCAACAATTAGGGTTGATCCTCAAATTGAGCTTGCCGTTACACCAGCGTCACACGAGACAATTATACGCGCAGTAACATAGCAACTTGCGTCATCGCATTGATTTTGCTGCCACATTAGAATTTCGGCAACTTTCAGTTGACATTTTGGAACTGCACGCTGATCATCAGCGCTTAGTGGTGTGGGACTGATGCACAGATGACAAAAACACAGCAAAAACTGTACCAGTTAACCTTCTGGTGTCTGCTCGCATGAGGCATCTTATTAAAATGAATATATGTATATGAATATATGTATAAATTGACAAAATTAAAGCATTGACATATTATACATTCTGGACAAACTAAGTGGTTAGATTAGTGGTTGGATGTAAGTTCCCAACAATTTTGTTACTCTTAATAAGCCATAAACTGTCTTCCCTTACTCTATATTCCACATACTACTCCCCTTTACTTTATATACCGTTGAACTAGAATTAGGACCATAAGCGCCTAGCCAATAGCAGCGCTAGGATCAAATCTAGCACAGCTTGTCTAGCTAATAATAGGTGGTTACTACAGTCCCAGAATGTGAGCTTATTAATAAATATAAATGTTATTCATCTGTATTTAAAAAATACAGTCTGTTTAAACACTTATTTGACATTGATGAACTAAAGGTTCATTGACAAATATTAAAGGCAAACATGTGAGTGGTCAGTAGGAATGGAAGCAAGCAGCGCTGTGGCAGTGGCAGAAATGGTGGAGGAAGAAGCATGGGAGGGGTTGGATGGGGTGTGGAAGCGGGTCAGAGTGGTGAAAGCTCTTGATGCTGCTGTGCTTGTTCCTGCTTGCCACTATTATTACTTGTTGCCTCTCGATGTGATGTGATGGGGGGCTCCATAACACAGTTTGGGAGGATCTGGTCGACATGAAGTACTAGCTAACTGTTACTTCTCTCCTGAAGGCCTCTTACCAATACTGGTCCTGGGAGTCCACAGTAGCTAATTGATACTGATTGTTTTCGCTTGTGAACCTTGTGGTCGACAGTCAGTACGGATTGACTGAGTACTAATGGACTGCCATTCTAGTTTAAAAAACAAAATTTTGTTATCATAATTTATCTTCCTTGACGATTTCGTACGTAGTTACAGTCATTGTATTACCTGATTCCACCCTACCATTCGCGCGTGGCAAGGAAATAGATTCCAGTTTTTATTTCCCTATAAAAAGTTGTACTTCCTAACGCCTGTTTATAACAATAGCTTTGTCATAGTGAGATTCATGGAAAACATTCAACAGCAGCTTACACGAATGAATGCGCTGATATACGTGGTTTTACAAGCATCTGCAACATTTATTAGTACTTTAAATATGTCTTTCTTATAACCTCACAGTGAATCTATGAGCAGGAAAAAATATACCAACCTACGAATTTTAGTGTGGAAAAACGTTAAAAAAGCGAGTTAAACTGAACGATTCTTAGGAACTGTAACGATTATACAAAGTGATAAGTCATATATATATACCCGGTGGACTCAGAGGAACAGCTGCGTGTTCATGGTGGCTTCTGGTGGGGTGAGTGTGATGCACACACTAAGTGCCTCGAGTATGATGCGTGCCCAGACCTGCGTGCGGCGTCGAGTGCCCTGAACCCCAGTGAGAGTTGTAAGTGAGAATGGGAGGGATGTAAGTGTTCTCCCCCGTCAGCCTCGCCTCCAGCGACTACAGACAAGTCGTGGGACGGGTTATGTCGCTGCCAGACTCCTCGTCCTGCCATCACTGTCACATTCACGCGCCTATCCCCGCCCGGGATCTGAAGCGCACCCATCCGCTCAGGTCACACTTCGTCGACAAGAGCGAAGATGCTGCCCAGCCCGGGAAGAACGAGCTGGCCAACAACAGCTTCAAGAAGAACGTTTCCTTCCTCTACAGGAAGATAAACAGGAAGGGTATTAGAAGCTTAGCCAAGGAGAGCCAGACAAATGTCACCATTCCCATCCCTCCTCCCGTCCCCACGAGGGTTGTCGACGCCCGTCCCGCGGTGGTTGTCGACTCTGTGCCTCTGCCCGACACGCCGCCGCGGAGCTCGGCGCCCGTAGGGAGGAGAGTTCGGCGTCGGCGCCGCGGGATGGCAGGACTGCAGGCAGTTTTGTTAGTCGGTGCATACGCTCTGCTGGTAAGACCCCGAGGGCGAGCACCGCTCCTCTAGTACCATCAAACAGTTTTAATTTACTTGAATACTTTAAGGTTCTTTACATAATTTAAAAAACACACCATTCTAACGGGTTATCTTTTGTGTCGTCCACAGTTGGTGCTGGCCGTGGTTATCGGCGTCGTCCTCAGCCAGAACCCCCGTCGGGTGGCGGGTCGGCCGAGGTTTCCCGACTCACAGCTCGCTCCTCGACCCGTCTTCAGAGATGCCGCTCCTGCCCCCGCCCCCGCCGTGAGGGCAGGTCGCCCTCGCTTCCCTCCCCCCAGCGGCGGCTCCCCCAGGATTGGCGCCCCCCGCCAGGGTGGTGGTGTTCCCCTCCCTCCCCCACCACCCACCACCGCCCCCCCGGAGCCGGAGTTCGACTACGTGTACGTGGACGACTCCCCCCAAGACCTGAGACTGGCGCCCAGCCCCGTGCCCAGCCACTTCCCCACCAACGCCCCGTCACCTCAGTCATTCAGACCTCAGCCGGCCCCAGCACCCCGCCCCCCCGTCGCCCAGCAGGAGGAGCCGAGGCGTCCCTCTAACCCATCTCCTCGCAGGACCACCGTCCCCCTCGCCAGCCTCGACAGGGACTTCAGTCTGCATGACGACCAAGCAATTAGAGGACGCAAAGAACCCGAGGTGAAGATCCTCCGATCATGGTCACACCAGAACGCCGACGGCACGTTCTCTTGGGGCTACATCAACGACGACGGCTCCTACAAGAACGAGACCCGCGGTCTGGACTGCGTGGTGCGGGGCGTCTACGGCTACATCGACAAGGCCACCGGGGAGCAACTCTCCTTCCCCTACGAGTCCGGCAACCCCTGCGACCCTGACGCACCAGACTATTACTACGACTACGAGGCTGGTTCCCCGGCCACCGACGGGGCGCCCCCCCGCCCCGCCCCCAAGACTGCCAGCCTCCCCCCGCGGCGCCAGGGCTGAGCTCCTGGGCCAGGCTGCAGCATCACCTTTGCCATAAATAATAAACAGCATTCACAAGCGCACTTCAAGTTAGCCTCAACAGCATCAGTTCATTATCCTCACTCCAGCTGTTACGACAGCTTGGTGACCACAGCATCAATTATCTCTCCTCCCTTGAGTCGTTACCTTACTCCTTGTAGTTACAACATCAGTTCCCTCCATCCTCCAGCTGTTACCATACTCTTGGTGGTCACATATTCAGCCTGTGGCCAGTGATGTCAGCTGTTTAAGACAATCTATATTTATCGAATGTTACAATTCTAAATACAAATTACAAATATGTTAAAGCATTTATTTATCCCGTGAATATTGCACCTTAAATAATAATAAGCCACGGAATGCAAGAAAGAGGCGATTTAGAGAGACGTTAATACAAAAATGAGACTGATGGATGCCTACTACTACTACTAATACAATAATGATTGGCCCAAACCTCAAAACCTAAGCTGATGGTTGGCTCTCTGGTTATTTTTTAACCACCTGATGGAGTTACTTTGGGACACGAACACCTGGGACGTCATCAAACCACCTGGCAAGTCCCTCTTTGCTTATAACTCCTCTTACATTTGATGGCATGACAATCTGTCATTGTTTTGTGTATGCTTCATGACCGTTTCTGCGATTCACTGTTTATAATTTGCATTACAAATACCCAGAAATTGCAACACAAGCAAATATGATGTCGTTTGAAGCTAAAATTATATACTGTGAAACCTCCAATATAAAATATCTGTATTTTTATTTTATATCGAACAATTCTGTGCAGGAAAGTATTTTAAGCATGCTTAATGGTCAACTTGTAATTTTATTTCGAAATCTTACTAAGAGGAGTTTTTTGACAAATCTATGAGAATTCTTTTTTAGGAAATAGAAAGTTTATCTTAATGTTTCTATACTGATACTTTAATAGAAAAAATTGTATGTAAGACTGCAGAACGGCTTGTAAATAGTCATCAGTTTGTATAATGATAACGAGATAAGAAACTAAAAACATCACCATACCTTAACGGTCAGATATAAAGGAGGCGCCTCCTTTTTACCTGTTCCAAAGTTACTCTGGAACTTATGTTCTAAGTAGCTGAATCTAAAACAACAACATTCAGCTTAGATGAACTCTAAGTAAAAGAGAGCACACAGGAAATAGCAGATACATTCTTTATCACAAACACCTCAAACTAGCTCAAATATGACTTGGCAACAAGTATATTCTAGGAACCTGACAGCTGGGTGGACAGCGTTTCGGATTCGTTGTCCTGTGGTTCCGGGTTCGATCCCCGGTGGAGGCAGAGACAAATTGGGCAACATGTTTCTTTCACCCTGATGCCCTTGTTACCTAGCAGTAAATATTATATGCAACTCCGCCCAACAATTCCTGTCTATAAAACCACAAACTGAAACTAGGAGATATGCTGGAGACTAGGAGATTGTCTGGAGATATGCGACAAGGCGTGTCACTTGATTGCACCGAACTGTTGAGAGAACTAAACCTCACCTTGTCGGACACAATAAGCAGGAGAGAGATGCTAACACAAGCACGTTAAGGGCAACTGAAAGAGTTCACACGAGAGTCATCTTCAAAATTAAATACAAATGAGCCGGATATATGTCAATAACACTACTTTCTCTACAGCAAAAGTCGACTTAGAGAAAAGCGCAAGAGAAACGGTTGAAGAGGAAAATTTAATAACTTAAAAACAAAATATGACTAAAATATTAGGAATGAGAGTTATTGCATTAAATGACCAGATGCTAAAAAGATGAGGCTGAGGAGCTAAAGCTGCACCCAACAAGCACATCAAAGTAATTACACGTAGGTCAGTAAACATACACAAATACACTAATTCGATACACAATTTTAACTGTAAATATAAGAAAGACGAATGAAAATAGTAATTGCATTGTATGATGATCGAAAGCGAAGATTGAAGAGTAGATGCTCGGTTTTCAAGAACAACTAGGTGACTACACCGAAGATGAAAAGAACGCAATAACCTATTAAATAACGCAATAATAAAAATAATGATTACGGGCTAATCATTCCCGTGCCACCTCTTGGGTGGCTTAATTAATCTTCATCACTCAAAATAATGACCAGTAAATATGTATCAACTTAACTTACATGACATGGTTGACCATCGCTATACTGATAGAGAAACCACTGCCGCCTTATCCACTGCTGCTTGGGTAACAGCTTCTCCCCCGTATCAACCTACCCTGGCTTTGTGCCCTGGAGAGGCCACGCCAGACCGACAACCAGAGCGCAACTCCATAGTCTCCTGAGACTGATGGATCCCTACTACTACTACTACTACTACTACCATATATACTGGCTACCATATGTACAGGCTACACCACCATACCATATGTAGAGGTTACCATATTATACGTGTAGGCTACTATTATGTTCAGGCGACCATGTGAGGAAGTTATCATGTGTAGAGGCCATATTTTGGCAGCTTCATCTTAGGAAAAAGTTGGCAATCTGGGCTTGACAAGCCAACATAAGAGTCCAATCGTATGGGTATAGAGCTGTATGACAGAAGAGGATCACCAAACCCGTCCCTGAAGATGGCGACTCCCAAGCCTTATAAAGCCTGCCACATGCATCCTTGAATGTTGATTATCCTCAAAAAAAAATAAAACAATAAGATGGACCTCGGAGCCATGGGACACAAAACTCTCATGAGATGGGACTCCAAGAACGAAACAAAAATCCAAATTCTCCGAAAGGACAGAAATTAATATTGAACAATTTGCAAGAAATCAACATTATCCTATGTTTCCACAACAAAATATGTAAATGGCCAAAACGTCAAATGAAACTAAAGGCCACGAATCTTAATTTTTTTGTAGAGGCTAATAAGCTAAGTCTCGATGATAAAGATACCAGAGACGATCATCACTGTGGTATTTTTATAACAAGAAAATACTCTTGCTGGAGAAAACAAAAATCATACTGGCCCTACGGTAAGCCTTTAGGCGCACGAATCACGGTCAACCACCCGAGGTCCCCAGGCGAAGCCTCCGTCCCCGAGTTGTGGTCGACGCTGTCGGTCTGACCTTCACAAGTGATGGAGGGAAAGGAAGTTCTATTGCCTGACCTTGACTGATATCTGCTAAACGCTACATATTTCCAGGTATGTGACTCTGGATATACGTCCAGGAGTGATCCACGACAAGTTTCCAAAAGATGACCTTCTATACCCTTCCAGGAGGTGATCCTCGACACCCTTCAAGGAAGTGATCGTCGACACCCTTCAAGGAGGTGATCCTCGACACCCTTCCAGAAGATGACCTTCTATACCCTTCCAGGAGGTGATCCTCGACATGCATGCAGGAGTAACCTTCGGCACGTTCCCAGGTGTGACCTTCGAAGCCCTAAACACCCTACCACGTGTAGGCGACAAAAAGATCTCAAAATCAACACACACATCGGATACGCGAACATGCTTGGAAGTGTTATAAATGACGAATCTCCAAATAAACAAATAGACAAACATGGTCCAACAAGCGGGCGTACTTAACACATTTCCAGCAAGACTCCACAAGAACAGACCAGAGTGTAAAGGCCGGAACTTAACTAGAGTGAGTGTGGTGTTGTCACCCGTTGCCCCCGGGAGCCGACCTTCCATTACCACCTCCAACACCAACTCTCGCAACTTTCCTCATTGTCAAAGTCAATATTTATAGGAACGGCCGACTATCTGAATACTGATGTGAGTAAAAGAATTGTGAGTCTACTTTATAACTGTTCAAGACAATCAAGGTTTAGCGGCATTTGCTCATATATATAATATAACAATGAAAATTGAAAACAATAAATTTCAACGACCTTCGGTAATATTGAATTTAACTGCAAACATATTTCCTTTTCTGATGAGATTATCTTTTCTTGCTATTGATTACCGATCAATATATAATCAGTGGAGGAGTTTCCTTGCTGCGTTGCGATATTTTATTCCTTCAAACACACACACAACACTAACCTCTGAACTCATAACGGTCATCAAGGACTAACTCGCACAGCGAAGGGAACACTTTGCTGACTTTCCTTACAGAAGAAATGTGCGCGCAATATTGTTGTGAGCGGTCACGTGCAGCAGAAACAGAACACTGGCCAGACAGAGATATAAACAAAGAATATATAAAACAAGAAAATCAGACGTCGTAAAAGCTACCAAATACTTGAGAGCACAAACACGAACGCTCTCCACACATGAATTAAGCAGCACTTGCCATAACAAACCAGAGCTACACACTGTAATGGCCCTAGACACGGTGAGTTAACGAGACGACGCGGCGTGAAGAATAACCAACTTTGGCGAGCAGAAGCTGGGACGTGTGCAACACAAACACTGACTGACGGGCAGAGGAGGAAGACTGCGTCATAATAACAGCCGGGCACGCGCGTCATGAGAGCAGCCGGGCACATGACTCATGTCAATAGTAGGGCACTTGTGTCACGAGAACAGTTAGGCATCTGTCATGACAGCAGCCGGGTATCTACATCATTAAATAGTTCCAAATTCTCCTTATCTACACTTCCTGAGACGGTAAATGTTTAACAATCAAATTTTTTTTCCGTCCGTGTCTTGATACGTCCCCCTCCTGCAGGTCACACCACAGTGCCGGTCCCGCCCCGAGATTAGTGGTCCCCGCCACAGACAATCGACAAGGAACTCCGGGTGTTGAGTGGCGTCCCTCACACGTGCCGCAGTGTTAACAGAGAATGTGGAGCAGTCGTGATCACGGCGGGTGACCCTCACCTCACAGGGACACACCCACTACTCCCACTCTTGGGGTTATTCCCCCACCCTCCCACCCACTTCCTTCACCCTTGGACTTTGGCTCTAGGTCGACCTGCATACCGACCAGGACCCCCAGCACGAGGCCCTCTGGTCAGGGTTGGCATCACACAACCACTGACCTACGCTGATTTAGCTTACAAGCGGTGAGGCGTGTACTGTCAAGAGGTCACAGCCCACCAGCACGAACATAGGGAGGTGTTGGGGACATTTCTCCCTCAGGGGCGAGGGAGGAATATGAGTGCAGTTTGTTGTTATGGAACCTCACTCACCGGACAAAATTGAGCTGCCTGTTTTCATAGTCTAGCCTATCTTAATTGTAAATGGTGTATTGTATATAAAGTTGTAAATATACGATAACGAATATTTACAGAGGTTTATATATTATTAATCAAAATGGTCCAATGTTTGGAGGTTAAGTAGCAAAGGTTTCAGACAGATCAGTTACTTCCAAGATGGATTCAATCAAGTCTTTCG